ACCGACGTATAGGACAAAATAATAATTGGCGTAGTATTGCATTATACCAGTACCTGGTCACTATGAGATATTTTACATCTGTGGAGCAACAGTTTGTAATTAGCGGGCACAGCTTCTTGTCCTGCGATAGGGATTTCGCTCTTATTGAGCGTAAAAAACAGCAATAGTGTATCATCCAAAAGATTGGATTGAAGTTATAGCCAATGCAAGATCCTTTAAGCCATTTATTGTGTTTTATGGAGAGGACCGATTTTAAATACTTAACTATAGTCAAGTCAGCTTTACTGAAAAACAAGACTAAAATAACTGAAACAGTATGGTACAAAATTACCAGTGATGATCCTACAATTCTATATTGAGAAAGCCATAATATAATGCGACCTTGAACTTCCCATCTCTTGGTTAAAACAGAAAGGAGTTAAAAATCGTTTTTTGCCACCATTTGCCATTCCAATTGAAAGTCTTTTGCTGTGTTGTATAAGAATCTTTTGCCAGTAAAGAAAGAAAAAAACATATTCCTAATCCAGAATATAAGGAATTTTATTTAAGCCTTACTTCCACAGAAAATTTACCTGATTTATCTGATTTCATTTTTATGTGAGCATTCAAGTAGAGCCGTGGTGAATAAGGTTGTAACATCATTAGAAATATTAGACATATCAGATGTAGCATGTGTTAATGTGAGTGTGGCCACAGGAAACCAGTTAAATAAATCGCGAAAAAGAAAAATTAGGCTTAGTGAGTGGAAGGACAATAAAAGAAAAATCCTACGAGACACTGGGAAACAATATGTTTCCAGAAAACGTGCTGTTGTTCCTGATAAAGTACCACCAGTAAACGTAAGTACAGAAAATTGTATTTATTTCCTGATTGTTAAGTAACATAACTGCAACAAGTTTAAGTTAAAATATACAAATGGTTTAATGACCCAATTGAACGTACTTCCAGTATTAAAAAAGTTCATTTGTAGATTCCAACTAGCTTTCTAAGAAAACAAATAATTGTTCAAACATCATCCTCTTTCCAATTGTTTTGTACACTAGCCAATCTCTAATACTATAACCTATTTAAATTCAACAGACTGATGTTTTTATTACTTCCAAAATTTTATGACTTATTCAGCTGTGACTTATTCATTTATCTTATTTTCTGTATGAACTTAATGATTATGTAATGTTATCTTTTAATATTATTTCTGACTGCATCTTTTACTTACATTAATATTTATGATCGAAAATTTTGTTATAAATAAGGTTTCCCTTATATTACGTGAATAAATAACAATTATTAATTTTCAATGACTCAAATGTAAGATGATAAATGAATAATGGGTTATCACCAAATAAATTATTAGTATGGAAGTATAAACATCCATTAATATCAATTTAAGTACTTTATTAGTTCAAAATAACTATTTGAGTCATTTATGCATTAAAAACAATTCAAATGATAGTAAATCATGACCTGTATTTGTATAGATTATCATTCATTATTATTGTAAAGCTTTTTATTGGTGGTATCTCACTTTTATCATCTATATATGAATAATGAAACAATTGGGAAATTATACTTAATTTATTGTTCTGGATTTTAGATCAAAAACTTTTGTCAAAAAAATGCTTAAGTAAATGATGTAAATTTGATGACTAATAAAGTTGGTTCTCTTCAAACTCCCTCAGTTGCAATTCTAGTTAGTTAATTCAAGTAATACATACACTAGTGGCCAAAATTCTGGATGGAAACTTTACACAAATTATCGTATTATTCACCATCACTTGTCTCATGATCATGATTTATATAGTTTATCAGCACAATTATATATTTTTTTATTGTTTTATATTTCTGCTTAATATTTTATGTATTTCTCACTCTATATATATTAACATAATTATTTAATAAAATGTAGAACCAGATTCAAGTGAAACACCAAAACTTCGAGATTTGTGAATGGCAACATTGGCAATACTGTATTGCTTCAGGGATTTGCTAGTCAGTCAACCACTCAATTGGAAGCGTTTAGTACCATTTCATGCCACTTGATATTGATTAATTGTCGGATAGGAATACATCAGTGTCAATTCAACGAAAATGGCACCAAGAAACCCAAAACATGTTGAGTGGTCGCCACAAAAAAGAGCCAAAGCAATTATCCTTCGAGACATATCAAACACATATTAAGAAATTGCAAACAAATTGGGTGGTGGGGCCAAAATCAGGTGTAATGAAAGTTTGTAAATGTTATCATAACACTGAAACAACAAAATCAGCAAAAAGAACAGTCAGAAAACCTACAGTTAGTCAATATGATGACCATAGCATATGCCAACTTTCTTTAGAAGATAGTTGCAGATCCGCAAAAGAAATTAATGGTATTGCCAAATCAACTCACTTACAAATATCAGATCACACTATCAGAAGAAAATTGTGTAAAAATGGATTGCGAGCATAGAACACCATATGATTGGGCTTTGGTACACAGAGGGTGGAGAGAAAAACAGTGGAGTAAGGTAATTAGGAGTGACGAAACCAGAATCTCGATCTTTGGGAGTGACAGAGTGAAGGGTGTACTATGGTCACTATGAAGCATCCTGTGAGTGTGATGGTATGGGCTTGTATGACCACTAATGGAGTTGGCCTTTTAGCAGTAATAGAGGGCAACATTAATGAAAAAAATATCAGGAAGAGATACTGCAAGCCAAACTGCTGCCAACTATCAGAGATTTGTTTGAAGCCAACAATGCATTTTCCAGCAGGATGGAGCACCTTGTCATATGGCTAAGACTTCTAAGGAATGGTTGATAAACCAAGATGGTAAGGTCCTGTCCTGGCCTGGAAATAGTCTCGATCTAATCCAATACAAAATTTATGGTCAAGGAAGAAAGTGTTAGTATCACACTGAAACCCAAGTAATAACAGAGAATTGATAGAACCCATTATTCAAAACTGGTTTAGATTTATTATACCAGAAGATTTGGCTCATTTTGTGAACTCCATGCCTGGCAGAATCAAGTCTATCCTAAAAACAAAGGTTATCCCACCAAATACTAATGTCTTTGATAATAACCATTGTACCATTTTTTAAAAATATATCTACTAATAGCTAATGACTGTTGTTTTATCTATTTGTAACATTTTAGAGGGTTTTTCCTCTTAAAATAAATGTTAAATATTAAGTAGAAGCATAAAATGAATGCAATAAAATTATAGATAAACTTATAAATCACATAAGTCTTGTGAAAAAAAGGAATGTTGATAACAAAACCAAAATTTTTGTAAAGTCTCCAGAATTTTGGCCACTAGTATATATCTATGGGTCATGTGTGAACAGACAATCATATTTAGTATGAACATACTAGTTCTTGAAGCCCTTAGCAGAATGAATCTGCGAAGTGCAATTTGTACTGAAAAAACAAATAAGCAAATACATCAAGTTGATGGGTGGTATGCCATAGGTTAAATTCACTGTCGCAATGGTAATATACCAGAGTCTACACATGTAACACTATTTTAATATTAAAATAATACATATTGGGACACATTGATATTAGGGACATATTTAGATTCTTCAAATCATTATATGAATCATTGACAGTAAAGTTGTTAATGTTACTAAACTAGTTTACCTTAACGGCAAGCACCCACAGGGTATTACTTGTTAAGTTTTAAATTGTTTGAATTTAGTTTTATTATGACATTAATAATGTCCAAATGTTCAAATTTATAACAAGATATTCACGAAGTTTGGTTGAAATCAGACAGTGTGTGAGCTATGATTTTCATCTTTTGAAATAGGGTTCTGAACATTATATGGATGAGAAGAAAAATGCTTAAAAAACTCATAGAAACATCCTTTACATACCAAACATACAAATTATCATCAGTATCCTAGAACAAGTCTTAAATCATAAATTCTCACTGTGTGCAAAAACTTATTATTTTTTAAAGAAATTGAGTTTAGTTTAAAATTTGTATCTGTATTTCAGACAGGTCTAAAAAACTTGTTTTGTGTTATTTTTTAACTAGTTAAAAATGCAACAAAAGCCCCTATGAATGATTCTTTCAAATGTGAATGTATGAGAACACAATGGACCATAAATACAATACATTTTATTTGTTAGTTTACAGATGTGGTTCTAGAACATAAGATACACTAATGGAAAATATGGAGGCTTATAAAACCTAAAAGGCTAATTTTGATCTACAAAAGTTCAAAACTAATATCTTTCATGTAATAAACACAATGCAGAGAGTTATTGGATATATACTTTAACTGTTTAGCTCTTTGTAGCTCAACTAAAATACTGATAAAACAATATTTTGCTTTGATTTTAAGAAGGAAAACTATAATTTAGATAAAGTGATATAATACAAGCATTGCATCAACAACTGAATATATTGCCAAAAGTATTTAATAATATAAACTGAATAAAAATATTTGTATGTTATTTCTACGCTATTTATCTGTGTGACACTATAAATGAAACTTGAGATTTGAGTATGTAGATATGTAAGAAAGAAACCAAAGTCAAACCTGATGTTTATAATCTATAAGGTTAACACAAACTCGATTACTGGATTAAGCTTACTATAAGGTTACATATTTAGCATTAGTTAAAGTCAGGGTCAACAATATATATACAATTTAACATTTTTTGATTGATTGCAAACCTTCAGACAACCTTGTGTAACGCCACTGTTAATTTATGTCAAAAAATGAGTAGGAATGCCGATTTTTAAATTATCCCAAACATTGCAGTTGCAAAAAAACTTTAGTAATATTTGCGTTAGAGCTAATAAATATCTTAATTTGCAATAACAATCAAGATAAATCAAGTATTCTCTGACAAGATGAATAAAACGCAGTCAATAAAAAATGATTATTATCGTTAGTTAAACTTCATAATTTGGCGCCTTGATAATATGCAAACAAGATAATTAAAAGGAAATCTTAAATACACTAAAACATAAAGGAAAAGAATATTTATTATCGAAAAACTCACATTTTTAGAGAAAAATGACACCACCCCGAAACAAATTCGACACCTTTGAAAACTGAAAATTCACCGGTAGGTGTCGTCCTCATAAATATGACATATTCTTCTTTTCTAATTCTCGTCAAAATCAGCTGATCGTTTCTCGGATCGATTAGGTTGCTCAGCTAGCTTCTATGAATTTGGAGTTTGTGTTTGGTGTTTTTAGACAGATAATGTTCCTTGCTACAATTTGACAGATTTTGTTCATCACATACAATCACATATTTAAAAATATAGCAATTCAAATATGAATCAAAATTCGGTTAATAAAAATAAAACTCATTCCAAAAGCAATGAAATATACATAGAAGAGCAGTTTATTCTTCGACTTCCAGTAGTAAGTTTTGTTGTAAAAATAATAACGTGAAAGTTTCTTTAGATGATACTTACTGAAAATACTTATTCAACCTTTTAGGAAGAAGCTCGACAGGTGCGATCCATGCTTCATTTCAAACCAGAGAAGATAAAGAAATGCATGAAGATATCTGTAGATCCAGTAGATAATAAAGTAGCAGTAGATCTGAACCATAAGAGATTGTTTGGAAATCTACAGAAGTTACCCACCATCATAGAATCGCAAAAAACTAATATAGATAACAACAAAAGCCTACTGTATAAAACTGCAGATATATGTTATTTAGCAGATTGTAGTTGTGAAGAAAGTAGTAAGAAGAAAGCTGAAACTCCACATGGAATTTGTCCGCCACTAAAGAATGTGAAAACTAAGAGATTTAGAAAAACTTTATCTAACAAAGAATCGGCGTTTGAAACAGAGAGCATTTCAAAGGAATTATACCACTTGTTACGAGCTGATTTGGAAGCGGTTAGTACTTTTTTAGAAGTACTTTTCTGCTTATTTAATTTTTTATTCGTTTTGTTTATTTTTTCAGTGTTACACGCGATTTGAAATAATCTACACCGACGATATTTCCAAAGACATATGTAAGAAAGGATAATGGTAAGAAGTTTTATCTTTTGAATTTAGGTGTCTTTTTTCAAATAGTTCTTGGAATACACAATTACGGGTATCATAAAAATCTGAGGTACAAAAGTAATAAATCTCCTTCAAAAGTAATATATTTTATGGGTTGATGAAATATCAGGAAAACACGAATATAAAAAAAATACAAATAGGAAAATGTTAAATGAACATGTTATTCTATTTGAATATATTTTTATTAAAAAAGTGTAAATACCTATTAATTTTAAATGCTGATAGTTACAAAATGCGGTGTCACCAAAATAATTAAATTTCTAAACATAGGTAACTATAGAGTAGCATGTTGTGGAATTTCTTTAAATTACCTAATAAATATATGAATCTGAATCCGAATACCATAGCCTTTTTCGCCGGAAATGTTCGTTTCTGAGATATGACATGTATCCTATCTATATAAGTAGGTATCTTTTTTGTTGCATAGTAGTAAATTTCTGCCCTCACGAAAATGACAAAATAGGATTGCGATGTGGAATGTGAATTTTCTTCTTCTTCTTCTTCCTTCTAGTATGTAGGCTTTAAAGCCTGTTTCTTCTTTAATATTAGCCTCCTAAATTGTCGCAACATATTTTTCTTGGTCTGCCAATACTTCTTCGACCATTTGGTAACTTATCTCGTACTATTCGTACTATTCTATCCTCTGCCATTCTACTGATATCTTCGTTCCACTCCTGTTTTTGTTTTGTCACCCATTCATTTATGTTTTCTATATTGCATGCTCTTCTTATGTTTTCGCTTCTATCCCTATCCAATAGACTTCTCCCTGATATTCGTCGGAGTATTTTCATCTCTGTTATTTCTAGCAGTCGTCTCGTTTTAGATGTGTCAGGTCTTGTCTCCGCCGTGTATGTTAATATAGGTCTAATTTCTGCTTTATATATTCTTGTTTTTGTGTCTTGTCTTAGGTGTGTGTTCTTCCAGATTGTATCATTGAAAGAACCCGCCGCTTTACTTGCTTTTAAGCTTTGTTGTTGTACTTCTTCTTTAACATCTCCGTAACTAGTTATATCTATTCCCAGATATCTAAACCTTGCTTCCCGTATTATTATTTTCCCATCAATTTCGATTTTACACCGTAGTGGGTGTTTAGATGTTGTAATACATTTGGTTTTGTCTGCTGATATTATCATATTGTATTTCTTATTGTATTGAAGATATGTGTTAATCTTTGGAGCTCGTCTTCTGTCTCGGCGATCAATGCGACGTCGTCTGCATAACATAATATTTGGATTTCTTTGTTCCCCATTCTGTAGCCATGACCTTTACGTACTGCTTGTATTATTTCGTCCATTATTATATTAAAGAGAAGTGGGATCAACGAATGTGAATCACTAGCTAGAAATTTGAGCATCAGAGCTTTTCTATAGACATGGATTTTCTGAAAACAGTGTCCTTTCTCCCCACTTTAGCTCCAATAGTATTGAGGAGTATACAGGACAGGTGCAAATAACCAACCAAGTAAGTACCCGCGGATCAACTGAAGACATGACATAGGGCAGCAGCTATGTTATTATTGCACTGGGGCTGTATGATCCAAACAGGCCTAGTGTAAATTACTCACAGGCGACAAACTACATCTTATTTTAACCGGCTGTGAGGCTGCGATCAGGCAGGCAACGGGAAACCTATCTTCCCAGAGAGCGTTATGAAATGACGACAAAGCAAGAAAATTCTGTGCTCTTCAATCCGGCTAGCAACCAGCGCCATATCGATTCCGGGTCGAATGGTGTGAAATGGGCGACCGGGCAAATGATTGTGGACGACCGGCAATATGGGACGACAAATGCGAAATGGGATACTGGAAAATCAAACTTAACATTACGTAAAAAACACCGCATCGCAACATGGAATGTTAGAGCTACAGCTACAGCCAGATAAATTTTTTACTCACTACAAAGTTTTCTTGTCAGGAGCTAACACATCAGGACAAATGGGCGTAGCAATATTAATTCAAAGACGTTTGGCGAATTATGTACATGAATACTTTCCAGTAAATGATAGAATAATCAAAATAACTCTACACGCTAGACCAGTCAAAATGTATATTATACAGGTATACAGATTGAACGAATTTAAAACGGATCATACAATTTAATATATATCTGTTTGAACTGCATTGAAATAGTGGACCGATATAAAACTTGGACAAAAATAAATCCATACCTGGGTTTAGACATTGTAATAAAATATCGTTCAACTATCTGTTTCGCAACAATGTTGTTTGCGTAACAATGTTGCCAATCGCCGTATAATAATCCGATTTGCGGATCTTTTTGAGAGTTATATCTTCTTCGTATCTTCAAATAAATCGGATATTTGCCTATATTTTTCATTGTATTTACCAATCTACTACAACAGACTAATAACAAAAATAAACTTAATAGTTTGCAGTTATTTTCTTTTTTTCTTGTACATATTTTATGGATAACACCTTATTTGAGAAACATTTAAAGGAATGACGTTGGCAACACCGCTCACAGAAGGGCTTGTCTAAAGAAGCGATAACTGGTTTGACAGCATAATAAAATCGTAGATTTATGTGTAGCTTTCAATTTTTATGATTTCAGAATCCAGCAGCCCGATGAAGTATTGGATTTTTATAATATAATTATTTGACAACCTTTTGTTGGCCAACCACCTACAGCAAAATTGAACCGAAATACATAATATTTCGTATGTTCCGAATTTATTTAGTTCAATCTGTATATGCCAACATTCGAAGCGGCAGAAGATACAGTAGAAGAAAATTACCACCTGATACATGAAACCAACTCTAACATTCCCAAAAAAAGACCCAATGATGATAATAGGAGATTGGAATGCAAAAATAGGAGAAACTAAAATAGATGACCATTTCAAAGGAACGATAGGTGAGCATGGCTTAGGCGAGCGAAATAAACGGTGTGAACGGCTCCTTCAGTTTGCCATAGATATGGATCTTAGTATAGCAAACACAATGTTTAAACATCATCCGCGGAGATTATCAACATGATCTTTGCCTGGACGATGATACAATAATCAAGATTATATTCTTGTTACTAAACGATGGAGGAGCTCAATAATCAACGTGAAGACAAAACCAGCTGCAGACTGTGATTTCGACCACAAAATGTTACAAGCAGAATTTCGCATTAAGTTACACAGTAAAACTCTCTCTCTTCAATCCTGACCCCCCAGGGGGAGTGTAGTGGTCGACGTGATGTCGTGTATTGTCCGTCTCCAGAGATCTCTGTCTCTGGTCATTTCTTTTAATTCATGCATAGGCCTTTGGCATATTCCTGTAATTTGATCTATCCATCTTGTTGGGGATCTTCCTCGTGATCTTCGACCTTCTACCTTTCCTTGTATTATGAGTCTTTCCATGTTTTCTGTGTTTGCTCTCATTACCATGCCCAAAATATTTTAATTGTTGGAGATGGACTTTACTAGAGAGTCGTTGGCTAACTTTTAGCTCTCTTAAAATTGAATTATTTGTTCTACAATCGGTCCAAGGAATTCGTAACATTCATCTCCAACAGAACATTTCAGTGGCGTCTATCTTTCTTCTCTCCGATTGTCTCAGAGTCCAAGATTCACATCCGTAGGTCAGTATTGGGAATATTAAGCAGTTGATCAACCTCATCTTTATCGCTCTTGAAATCTGAGTCCTTCCATATTTTGGTCATTTTTACTGTGGCAACTTTTGCTAGATCACATCTACGGTTAATCTCTTCTTGTAATGACCCTGTGTTTGTGATTAATGATCCCAGATATAAGTATGAGCTCACAACCTCGAACCGGTCAATTGTGGTTATGTGTGGATGATTGTTGTGTAGTCTATCCACTAATCCACTATCATGATCTTTGTCTTTGATATGTTTAATTGCAGACCAAATATTTGACTTTCGTTTTCGATCAGTCGTATAAGTTCCATCAGCTCTGCTTGACTATTTGCAAGAAGGGCTGTGTCATCTGCGAAACGTAGGTTGTTTAGTTTATGACCATTTATTGAGATGCCCTTTTCCCATCCTTCAAGTGCTCTTCGCATAATATACTCCCATATATGTTGAATAATTGTGGAGATAGTATACATCCTTGTCTGACACCCGTTCTAGATGAAACTCGTTCGAAAGTGTGTCAAGTACTTTAACTGATCCAGTACTCCAGTAGTGTGTTCATATAGTTCAGTTATAAGCGTAATTAGATGTTGTGGTACGCCTACTTCTTTTAGTATTTGCCATAAGTGTCTCCACTTGACCCTGTCGAACGCTTTGCGGTAATCTATAAAACAGATTTATAGTGGGATGTTGAATTCCCTAGTTTTCTCGATTATCTGTCTTATATTCAGCAGGTGTTCTCGAGTGCCTCTACCTTTGGTAAATCCAGTTTGCTCTTGTGGAATTTCTCTTTGAAGGAATGTTTTCAGTCTTCCATTGATTATATGTAGCATTATCTTGCTGGCATGGGATATAAGAGAGATAGTTCTATAATTGTCGCATTTATGGAAGCTGCCTTTTTATGTATGGTCGTTATTGTAGATTTTGTCCAGTCTTCAGGCCATTGTTTGGAATGCCATATTTGGTTACAGAGTAGATGAAGTAACTTTACGCCGGTTTCTTCTGTGGCTTTAAGCATTTCTGCTGTTATCATATCTGGACCTGGTGCTTTGATATTTGAGCTTGTTGATAGCCTGTCTTACTTCATTTTCGAGTATATCAGGTTCTTCTTCCACCTCGTCAGAGATTTGGCTAACAAGCTCTTGGCGTTAATCATCTTTATATAGGTCCCTGCAATACGATCTTTATGTCTCTGCTATGTCTTCTCTGTTTGTTCTCAGGGTTCCAGTGTTATCTTCAATGGCCCAAGTTCTGGTTCTGAAGTCTCTTGTCAGGTAGCGTATTTTTCTAAATAGATCTCTCGGCTGATTATTCTGACCATGTCTCTCAATTTCTTTGCATATACTTTGATAGTACTGTTTTTTGTCGGCCTTACATCTTCGTTTTATTTCTTTATTGAGGTTTCTTAAACTAGCTTTTTCCCTTTCACTATGTACACCACTTTTACAAAGATTTCTTCTATTCTCAATTATTGTAAGAGTTTCATCTGTTATCCAGTGTTTCCGTTTCACCGAATTATTTTTCTTTGAGCGATCCACTGGTGTTGTTACGCAATGTTTAACAGTCTCCCATATTTCTTGTGATGTTCCGTTACGAGTAGAGGGCATACTTTTCTGTACTTCCTGTAGAAGGTCGTCTTTCTTTCTTAGTTCTATCCTCTTTATCTCTCTTTGTTTGTTAAGTGCTTTAAGTTTAAGCATTACTTTAGCTACGAGGAGAGTATGATCGGATCCGCATATTGCCCCTGGATATGATCTGACTGTTTGAATGGACGATCTCCAGCGAATATTGGTGAGGTTACTGAACACAGTAAAACAATCACAAATAAAAGACAAAAATGGATTACAAAACATCCGGAAAAGTTTAGAAAAGCATTAGCAGAAGCTGACCTACCAGTGACTACCGGAGACCCTGTCAAAACGTGGGAATACACAAAGAAATGGATCACTGAAGTCATCAACAATACTAATCCCAAAGACAAAACAGCTAGGAAAAAACATTGGATGACTGAAGAGACTCTCAATCTTGTAGAAGAAAGACGAAAACTTATAAAACGGCCATCAAATTCAAAACAAAAAGAAATAGAGATATGCAACATGAATACAACTATAAAACACTTGTGCAGAAGGAACAAAAATAACTATAATAAAACATTTGTGTACAACTAGAGGACCATGCTGACCGCCAAGAATCTAGAGAACTTTTCTCAAAAGTCAAGTATCTAGCGAGAGAATTTAAACCGCAGACACAGATCATCAAAGATAATAGTGGAAATACCATAACAAACCCAGACGGTATCGCAGAGATGTGGAAACAATATTGCGAAATACTATTCTCTAACAACGACCCAGACAATAATACAGAGGAAAGAAGTTATGAGTACCTCAAATATTGAAATCAGAAATTGAGGCGGCAATTAAAAAGCTAGATTTAGAAAAGCAGAAGGAGAAGATGGCATACCAGCTAAAACATCAAAAAAATTGGAGAATTAGGGACGGAAGTAATGCTTAGAATTTGCAATGAAATCTGGAATACCGGAAAGTGGCCAAATGACTGGGGTAAACTCACGTTTATTCCCATATATAAAAAAGTTTCAGCGACAGATTGCAGTAATTACCATACAGTAGCATGGATATCACACGCAAGCAAATTACTTCTAACCATCATCAACGAAAGACTAACATCAATTCTCTTACCACAAATTCCCCAAGAACAATGCGGATTCGTCCGAGGTAGAGGAACAAGAGAACATATTCTTAATATTCGTCAAATTATCGAAAAATCTCGAGAGTTTAACATAGAAACATATTTATGCTTTGTTAACTATTCCAAGGTTTTCGATGTCGTAAAAGGGGATAAAATGGGGCATATACTTAGAGAAATGTAAGAGATAATAATGGTTTCGAGGGTGGTTTCGAAAAACTTCAAATTAAAATCTGGAGTTCGACAGGGATGCATAGTATCACCTATTCTATTTAATATATATTGTAATAGTTTTGTTTTTATTATTTTTATGTTTTATTGTTAATAAATATAATTTTAATTGAATTGAAGTGAATTTTAAAAGTATGTAGTTCGTTGTTAATATACTATACCTCGGCTAGCTCAATTATTTGTTCTAAGCAATCTGTCACTGTGTGACGTCAACTCTGTAGTCTCCTGGTAGAGTTCAAAAAGAAATTAAACCAAAATTTACTTTATATTTTTGATAAATTAACCCAAATGAAGCACGTTATTTATTAATATTGAACAAATTTAATATAAACAATAAAATTCGTCTGCAACTTGGGTTGCCTTTAAAAATTTACAAAAATAGGAATCGTGTAAACCTTAATGTGTCGTGAAAATAGAATTTGATTACAAAATGTGGAAAACTCTCTACAATTACCTTAAATCTAAATGACTATTGCAACTTTATAAAGTGTTTAAATGAAATATAAAGAAAAGAAAACTGAACACTTTATGCCGCTGACTTATAACTAGCATTAAAATATAATCAAAATTTCAAATGATCCCCAAAATTATTATCCAAACTCACTTTCAAACAGTTCTGATTTTTTTTTTTTAAAGAAAACTAACTACTCGCAAAATAATCGGTGATACTGGAATATCTATCCTCTCTTCGGAAGTTAAAGGTACGTACTATTATATTTTTATTTTAATGATCATTAATATTTCAATTTTTAAGGCCTATCGCAATTAGTTAATTCATGAATTTTTACTTTTTCAATCTAAATGACATTTCTGCACTCCAATTATAATTTATAAGTCAAAATTTCTCTTACTCTCTGGAACAAATTCTGGATATCTCTATTTGAAAATGTGGAAAAACTAAATTATAATTAAACGATTTTAAAGCACTCCCGGACTATTCCACCTTTTTAGGGCTCTTCCTCCAAAATTTTCGTCGCCTCCAACAACCTATTCTTCCTTGTTCACCGCCATAGCTAGCACCAACTACCAAAATTATTCGTTGCTAACAGCAACCCCCTTTCTTTTTTCATTCCGTCTTCTATTTTATTCAACCATAAAACTGTCCTGTTTTGACATATTTGTCAAACCACATTAATTTCTCATAAGCACTTTAATCACATCTAATTTGGGAATTTATAAAAAAAAAAATTCAGATATAAAACTTAACAATACTAATATAATTTATTCTTTTCATCTCCACATCATTGTAATTTATTTAACAAAACCCCTATTAATTTAGTTCCCACAGACTTTTGACAGTTTATTTTTCTGACGTTTATTTTTAAAATTTCTATGTTTAAATAATTTTTTAAGAATTCTTCTTTTTTATTCCTTTTAAGGTTTAGACGATTCACCTATACACTAGGCAACTATACTATTCAGAAATTATTAACACTATACCAGGTAAGTCAAAATTAATTTATTTAGCAATTTACTAATCTTTTCTCCCTTTTATTTCAGAGTCGACCCCACATTGTGATGGCTTCATGAAATTCATGAACAACAAACTCATATAAAAATCCCTTTAAGTTATATCCTCTTTGACCTATTGAAATCATTTCAATATATATAGTGAACATATTATGCATCGATTTTTTGAGGAATAGCACGGTGGAGCAACGATAGGAGGAAGAAAAATCAAAAACCTACGTTATGTTGATGACACTGTTATATTGGCGTTATCACCAGAAGAACTGGAACAAATTATGAATAGGCTAGACACTGTGAGTACGGAATATGGCAATTTAATTACTTAGGCTCCGTCATTACTAACAGTGCAGGATGCGAAGACGCATCACAATGGCCAGATCGGCAACAGCCAAACTCACAAAAATTTTATAAGAACACTGACATCGCAAAAAACGCAAGATTGCGCCTTGTTCGAGCATTGATATTTCCTATCGTCACCTATGCTTCAGAAACTTGGACAATAAAAGCCAATTCAAAGCGTATAATGGCATTTGAAATGTGGGTCTACCGTAAAATGCTGCGCATACTATGGACCACCCATCGCACAAATAACTCAATTCTAGCAGAACTTAACATAAAAACTAGACTCGTCACAACTATCAACCAAAATATACTGAGATATTTTGGACATATATCCAGAAGAAGAGAAGGCATGGAGAGAATGATAGTTGAAGGTAACGTAGCGGGTAAAAGAACCAGAGGAAGATCTCCAGTACGATGATCGTACCAAATAAAGGAGATGACTGGTTACTCATTCTTCGAAGCAAAACAACACACACAGGAGAGATGATTGGACAGAAATAGTCAAACAAATTATATGACGCCACTACATCATTACGAAGAAGAAAATATTGAGGAGGAGGAGTATTGAGAAAAAAGTCAAAATCCACTCGTGACATCCGAGAACAAGTTTCTGGGGTTTTCTTGTTTCGTGTCCAATACATGCTAAGATTTGGACATTCCTTTCTCCGTATAGTTTCATCTGACATTATTGCTTTTTCTGTTGTCTTTTTTATGGTTTCTTGTATATAAATGTGGCAAAAACTATCAATTACAAGCTTTCGGTTCATCATGACTTTATATATAGGACAAACTGGGTTTCTACTTCTGGCTCATTGCTATTGCGGGCGTGGCTCTATGAGGGAATGCTTCAGATTTCACGAAATCGCATGCGCATTCGGAGCAAATGCTCAGATGTGTATGCGGCTTAAGATAAAGCGTATCAGTTTAGTTCGTAACACGAATAAAAATCCAAAAAAAGGCATAAAACGTGGGAGGTAACGACTACCATCGAAAAAGCTGTAATTGTGTATTTATTCTAATGTTTGCCGGCACCCAAATTTACTGGAAAAACAATTATAGTGGCTAATTAATTTGTTTAGTTCTTTAACCAAAGAGGACTGACTATTTTAATAAAAAATCCGTTACACATAAGAATAACTTTGAATCTTTTCAACCAAGTACCTTTGAATCCGATTAATCAAATTGTTTTAGGCGGAATTTTCTCGAACGGAAGACTGAAGATATTTATTGTTCAAAGCCCAATTTGTTTTTGAGTTATTCTTTAGAATAATTTGTTAAATGTTCAAATACTGTTTCATGGATGATTAGAATAATTTGTTAAATGTTCAAATACTGTTTCATGGATGTAAAAAAAGATTTTAATTGTTATATGTATCAACAATGTGTTGATATAATAATTATGAATTAATTAATTAAACAGATTAAATATATAATCTTGGTGTTTCTATTATTTCTTTTCAAAATTTGGAGTCATAAAAGGAAAATGAATGATGTATTTTGATCATTTATAATGGTCTTCAGAGTAATTTATTACTTATACTGCGATGGTTGATGAAACAAAACAACGTAACAAAAGGTAATAATATTTGGTAAGTCTGAGAATAGGTAGTAGGCTGTTTTTCATATCGATGGACGATAAAAAATTTGTTTGGACAATTTTTTTTATTTTTTATAATTTGGCATCAAAATACTTATAATCCTAAATGTTTACCTTTCTATTACTAACCCCCCAACTACAAGCTAATGTAAAATGCACATAATAAACGAGAATAAACGTAAGCTGAACGAAATCAACAAAGACAAGCGCACCGGTTAGTAGTTAATATAAGCAGAACAAATGACCGAAAAAGCCAACAAGTACATTCATCGAGTATTTACATCCGATGCTATCCTTCATCTGGCATTCTAGTATGAGCCAGATATTGAATATTACGCTCATTCGAAAGTGATGGTTGATATCATGGACAAGTAATGTTCCCATGCTCATAATCTTAAATTCAAACATGAATCAGCCGAGATGTGGCGCATCGGGAAAAGTCCACCTACCTCTACCAGAAATTGAAACACCACCTGGATTTTCCAGGCATGTCACCATGCCATCTAGAACTGAAAATTGGATCAACAATTATTTTACTGCGGAATATGGACCCAACACAACTGTACAGGCAGGGGCACTCGATCATTAAAAAATTCACGAAAAATATTTTGAATGGCAAGTTCCGATGCGAAAATTTATTGATGAATAAGTCACAAGGCATACGATGCCTATTTGTTGCTTAGTTTGGGATACACCCTATTTGGTAGGAATAAGAATTAATTGTCCGAACACTAAATTAGCAATAACTGTGGAAAATACTCATACAATATTTCAAGTTGTCTTACTAGCAATAGAATTTCGTGCTCAAGAATGCCTAAAAAACGGATTAATTCGACAAAATATTTATTGCCTCTGCTAATCGCCAAGTCTACAATTTGTAAGTCCGTAACAGCTTTTGTTACTGCAAACACTAGGTATGTAAAACAATTGACGAACGACAATCAAGTAATGTTGTTATGGGTGCCTGATTATAAAGAAATTGTTGATAACGAGATTGCTAACGGTTTTGCTAAAGGAGCTAGAATTATTCTGGAAATCCTGAAAAGCCGCATTGAGGAAGATGTTTGAAAATGAGCAAAGGAATGCAATCAATCCCTTGAGAAAATATTCCATGCCAAAAGCAAGCAGAAAAGTTAGCACAACCTTCTGCTCGCTGCCCGAAAATGCTCTTAGAACTTCAAAAAACTGAAATAGTAATCATAGGTATTCTGACTGGACACTGCTCACACAGATAACATATCTGTAAAATGAACAAAGTAGAGCAATATGAAGAATATATAAAAATTTCGAAGGAACTGCCTAACACATCTACAACTATAAGGTAATTTTTGGCTAACTCCATAAATACCTGGAACATATTTTGTTAGAACCCAATCAGGGTAAATGCTTGAGGGTAAAACAGCTGGAATAAAGGTACATGGAGTTCCCATTAACAACATTAGATATGCGGACTACACTGTGATCTTAGCCGAAAATATTGAAGATCTTCAGAGAATGGTGACCAGAATAGCAGAGTATGGAAAAGAGTACGGTCTAACAATGAACGTCAAGAAGACAAAATTTGTTAGAATTTCGAAAACTCAAACGAGAATCTTCTTATAAACGAAACCAACGTCGAACAAGTGGACAAATATCATATCTGGAAACAATGATTAACTCAACAAATGATTACATTCAGAAAATCAGAATAGAAAAGGCTAAAACAAATTTCAACAAAACGAGTTTTTGAGTTAAAATTGCAACTAAGGGTTAGGTTGGCGAGGTGCTATGTTTTTTCGAATGTTTTTTATAGAATGGAATCTTGAATGTGACATCAATGAAAAAAGTAGAATTATTAGAGCTGTGGGTGTATAGAAGAATTCTGAAAATATCGTGGACAGAACACGTCACAAACAAAGAGGTTCTCAGAAGGATTAATAAAGAAATAGAAATTTTAAATACAATTAAAACAAGAAAATTGGAATATTTTGGACATATTACATGTGGAGAGAAATACACCTTGATTCAACTGATTATGCAGGAAAAGATACAAGGAAAGAGAAGCATAAGGGAGGCGTAGAATGCCATGGCTGCGCAACCTGAGAGAGTGGTATGGATGTACATCAAATGAACTTTCCAGAGCAGCCTTCTTAAGTCCGAATAACTATGATGATTGCCGACCTACGCCGTGGAGATGGCACTTGAAGAAGAAGAATCAGGTAACAAATGTATGTCCAAGATAGATAAAAGGCTTTTTTAGAGGTCTAAATCTTGTGAACCAAAAAAGTACTATTGAGAATTGGAAAGAAAAAGTATTGGGCAGTAATCAATGGAAGCAAGTGATTAAGAAAGGTATGGAAAGAGTATACGAAATATTAAATGTTTTATATAGAATTAAAACAAAATGTAAATGGTAATTGTAATGGGAAATGTAAATTTTGCAGCCCTAGGCCTTTAAGACCTGTCGAGCTTTATATATAAATATAATATAGATCTTTTGAACTGAAACACAGTCTACAATTTGTATAGTTTTGGGCATGTACCACAAGTAATCAAAGATACAATCGATAAGTCAGCCAGAAAGAAGTTTTAAAAAACAGTTTCAATGACAATAGAGCTGGCTATAAAAAAACCAATTCCACATAATATGGTACCCATTATTTACGAAAAATCAGGCATTCACCTATCATTTAGTAATTTATAATAAGAAAAATATCGATTTTAATACTGCTTGATATGTTTAGACTTTCTGCTGTATTTCACTGTATGTTAATTGACATGTATTAATAGTTCTTCACTTTTCTGTATATTCTGATAATATAATTATAAATACAGTACAAACACATTTTCTAAAAAAATTAATGTTATTTCCAATTATGTTCATATTTATACACTTTTGTTAACACTGCTAATAAAATATGTATCAAGTACTAATTATCAAAATAATTTCTTTATAACATACTGTCAATTATTATATTATGTTAAAATGTTTATAAATATTTCAATCCATTCTAATAATAAAGTATATGGCATAGTATGGTTCAATATATAACTACAAGTTTTAGAAAAAATTATTGTCATAAAATGTGTTGTAAACAAAAACATAAAAATGAAAATTCCAGAATAACTAATACACCTACAGAAACAATTTTAGAATAAAGTCAGGAGGCACAGCAATCTTAGTCAGAAAAGGAATAAAGTAAAACATAATGGTTAGTAAATTAATCTTGGTAGGTACTTAAGTAAATTTGCTCCAGTCGCAATTGGATGCTTACAGGAAAGTCTTTAAGTATCATTGTAGTCCATCATCAATCAATAACAAAATATCAATTAGATTTCACTGTATAACTAGCTCAAAATCAGACAAAGGTGCTCTTGGAAAAATATTAATTTGGTTCACCAAAAATTATTTGATATTTTCAACTAACAAACTTTTTGATATCAATTAATTTGCACTTGAGACTACATTGGTATATAAATGAGGCAGTAAGATAATAATGTGACAAAATATTTCTGCTTCAAAATATGCTGTCCCAAATTAGAGTACCTACTATAAAATTTAAATATGATTTCACATCTTCATTTTTCATATATTTTCATCATACAGAAATAATACATTTTCTAATTAACCAATAAATTAATGTCTAATAACGCTAAAAACATGGATAAAATGAATTAAATAATAAGTCTATAAGACACTATTGTATTTGTTGCACCTTTGCAATGGAAGAATACTATGTGACTACTTAGATGATAAAGGCGACACAATAGTACTGAAAGAACTGATTTTCTTCCTCAAAGGAAACATATTTCCAACACACCTGGATATAGTACTTTTACACTACCTAAAAATACTGATCTTTATGTATGTAAGTGCTCTTCCTTTCATATCAATAACAAATAGTTTGCTTGTGTTTCTTAGAAACACAAATATTTTTTCAAACTATTTCCCAGAAATCTTATTGGCCAAATAGCTTATTACTATACAACAAATTTGCCCTTAATTAAGTATGGCAAAAAAACAATCACACATGACTTAGATTCAAAAACAGTACATGTGTATGATACAAATATTTATCATGGTAACAAAGAAGATGTAACTTTCACCTAATTCCCTCTGCAGTAATTAGGTGAAAGAGTTAAAACAGTTACTTTTTGCTACTGTTGGAACCTCCACAAAAAATAGACAACATCCCAAAATTCAGTTCCAAACTCTCTAGAGGAAAAAGTAAACTCATGGTATCAAATAAAAAATTATTTCACTGGAAAGACAGGAATGGTGTTGCTATTCTTTACAACTATCATACACCTGATATCAATTTTATGGAAAGAAGAATGGAAATGGTGAAAAGAAAGATTTTACATGCCCAGAAGCAATATTTTATGGTGGTGTTAATTTGTTTATAAACTGATGATGACAGTAGTTTTTAATGCCTATATATTTTGCTATGAAACAAATCACCAAAAATTCCATATATCACACTTTTAGGCAAACTGGCTGAGCTTGAAGGTAGCAATACCATGATTTCAAATAAAACAAAGAGAAGATTAATTTAAAGTTACTCTAAACATGTGAAATTACTGCCAAATGGACCACTTATAGAGAGATTTATAAAACAAAGAGTTATGCTTGCTGGCAAGGGACAAAATCTGAAATAATATAAAAAAAACATGAAATGCCAGCCCTACTTTTTTGATAACAAATTATGTATAAATATACCATTGTACATTTAAAAATTTAAAGATTAGGCAACAGAATAATTAGAAACAACTTGTCAAATGGGTTAGTTTTTAATTTACAATATGAATAATCTTAACATATCTTAAAATTTACATTTCTTAAACATTATTATTGTGAGAACTAACTATAAAAACAAAAAGGATACAAAATATACTTTACAAAATAAAAAAAACTATTTTTGCATTTTGTACTCTGTAGTACTAAAAAATCAAATTGTAAATATAAATCTTTCATTTATATATAACATGTGGCACTAATAATTCTGAAAATAATTGTTCCTAATAGGAGGTGGCATTGGCATGTTGAGTGGCCCAGTGGGGTAAGGAACTGCTGGCTGCCCAATGGGATAAGGGGGCATAGGTCCAGATGGATTATTTCCAGGTATGTTAACACCAGGAAAATAATTAGAATTTATGCTAACAGGGGGTGCATTAATGTAATTAGGGATGTTATTCAAAGATGGGTCTCTTTGTAGAATTTTAGATAATTTCTCTGCTTTTACCAGACGTAAGTGCATTATTTTTCTTTTTTCTAAGAAGTCATCAAGAAAATCATCCAATTCAAGTTCACCATCTAGAAACTTTTTTGATGATTTATCAGATTCTTCTTCCATTTCACTTGCTGCTGTCTGTAACAGGGCTAAAGCAGTTTCTAGGGACATATCACCACCTTTATCCCCTAAAAAATAAATTATATATTGTGAAGGAAATAATTACTACTGTATAAAGAATGTAAAAAATATGTAGCATCATAAAATGAATATAACTAAAAAGGTGGTTTGATGATAGTTTAAATATACTAACTCAGTTCTTTAAGTTTATCTTCCACTGATTTTGTCAATTCCTCTCCCTTTTGTGATAATTCCTCTATTTTTTCTCTGCCTTCAACTAATTCTGGTTCCTTGGAGAGGTTGAATTCTGCCATTGAATTGTTACTGGCTAATATGTTTTCTTTTTCATTTTCAATTTCTTTTAAATAAGACTGAAACATTAGAATCTGTTAAAACATCTTTGATTCGAAAGTCTAATTATTAATCTCCCTATTAATTTCAAGTTGTTTATATCAATTTTTGAGACAAAAACATTAACTCATTCAATCTTACCTGATCTAGCTGCGTAATGATTTCCTGAATTCTCTCGTCATTGTTTATAATTGAATCTAATTCATCGTTGCTTAAAGACACTAGATCTTTTACAGCTCGTTTACAGTCAGCCTGTAAAATTTCTATTGACATTTTTAAAATAATTTAGTCTAAAAAGTAAAAATTAAATATAAAAATGACACAAGAATATTACAATAATAAAATCTTGATGACATGTGACGTGTGTTTTAGAATCATTCTGACCAACACATTTAATTTTATTATCATTAAATCACAAATTCAATTGAATAAATAATGTAAATCTGCTGTCGGAATAAATTGCTATTTTATAAATATTCAGATAATCTTATATAAATGCACAACATCATTTAATTTTAATGTAACGTAAAATCAAAGAATATAGACGCTTAAGACGCTTAAGACGCTAAGCGTCTATATTCTTTGGTAAAATATTGAATAAAATGTGACTAATTTTACATTGTTGGCGGAACTGATAACTCAGCTGTTCAACAATGCACTTTTAAAACTTCAAATCTGCTTCAAATAATTTTGTAATAATAGTTGTCATGGAAAATTTTTTAAAAATAGTAGTGGTATTACAGCAAAATTTGGGGCAATTTTAATATATAATTCTTTTAGTCATATTATGATAGTACGACACAATGAAAAAACTAAATTATGTATGCTTTGTTAAATTCTACAACTGAAATCATTCCAACTACAACAGGTATTGATGGTGTAGAAGATGACTATGAATATCTTATAGTTCCTTTGGTTGTCCTAACTTTTGTGTGTATTTTATCATTATTGGTGAGTAATAAAAGTGGTATTTTATGACTAAACATGAAGGGCTATCAAAAATTTATGCCATTGATTGATCCTGATCTGTTTTTTCTGACAAACTAATGTTCTAGTATATAGTTGCTGAATAAGATATTTCTTTATACACTTAACAGTAAATTATTAATTATTAGTGACAAACTGGACGGTGTCTAAGGTTTTATATTAGGGCATTCTTGGAAATTAGAAAAATATTACCTAAAACACTTCCCAACAATTAATACTAATAACATTAACTTTCTAATGAGAACTTATAATTTGTAAAAGTCTATAGTTTCTAAAGTGTTGTCATTGTTTAAACATACTAATGGAACCTAATCTGATAAATTAAAAGTTCAACAATTACAATAATGATTTGTTTTTTCATAAATTGTGTAAAAAATGCTGTAGGTATTGTTTATGATACTACTGTGTCCTCATACATCATTATGTAATATGGAATATGGTTATTTTACTTTCTAGCCAGTTGAGAGAATACAAAAGAGGTTTCTCAAGCCTATTCAATTTTGAGAAAATTAATAATTTAAATTTTTACAAAAAATGTTTAGGTTTTTTCAAATAAAACCGTTCGCGCCATAAAAAACTGGTACAACTATAATATCCAAAAGTCGTGTTTTTTAAGTTGTGTATGTTGATCTTGTCACATGTGTCATTCTAATTTCTAGGGCACTGTTGCCAGTTCAATGAAAATAATATATGAAATCAGCTAAAATCAGGGCTGTGCGACAGACCGCCAGTTTTGAGTATACTAAAAACTAAAACATTATTGAGCATTCTAGATTAGTCAGTCACATTAAATTTGTTTAAACATGCAATGCATCATCTCAATTAAGTACACCTATATTGATTTGTGTTTTATGCTAATTTATGAAAATATTTCAATTCAAAAATAATGATAATCTAGACATAACTTTAAATTATTATAATAAAACATTACAGTGAGATATTGGATTGTAACTGTCACATTTTGAAAAGCGTTTTTTTGTCCCATATTTTGTAGTTTACAATACGCAGGATAAAGTATAATGTAAGTTTTTCAAATTTATTGTTCTTGTAATAAATAATAATTTAATCTTGGTAGTTTGCTTGTTACTAAACTTATTGACATAAAATACAGTTAGTGTTTGGTAGGTAATTGAAGTATAAAATTCGGTAGATGCATTACAATGTTCCCTGTGCCAATACCCTAGGTTTAAAGATCTTTCAAACATTTTGGATATTAGATCAACCCTATTTGTGGTTATTAAATTTATTAGATATGGTTTTTTGTTGTTAATAATAAAAATAATACTTATCTAAAAGCTGTATACATTTTTTAATGTTATTTTTTATATTTAGATTTTGTGCAATTCTGTTATCTGTAATGGCAACAACGAATTGATTCACGAACCATTGTGTCTAGTCTGAACACAGGTATACATTGGGAAAAAAAGTGTACCAGTTTTATATGACGGGAAGTGTACATAATAGTTAATTTAAAATTTTTCTTTTTCTTTAAGGTATGTATAATGCTCAGACGGAGGAGAAGATTGAATCAACTTAAACAAAGTATTGTTAATTTATATGATTTTGATGCCAATGAACAAGAATGGGAATCTCTAACTAATAGCAATGATCATTCAAATTACAATACGACCAATTTCTAGGAAATGTAATGTATTGTGAATCCAAGGTGCCTTCTTCATTGCTTTTTATTTATTTTTATATAGTTTTAAGTAGGTTTTTTAATGTTATGAATAAAAAGGGGACATAATATATTGTTTGTTTTCCATTTTATCTTATAGCCATGCTACCTTACATGCTGAAAGTACTCAGCTGATTTAAAGGAAAAAAATTAGACTATCAAGTTTTTTGAGAATATACACCTGTTCCCAGTTTGACCTATATTATAGATGTGTATCCAAGCCATACAGTATGTTTCCAATTAAATATATATTTCAATGACCTGCTAAAGTGTCTTACAAAAAACTATCATTAATACAAGTTACTTTTAAATTATAATAAAAATTCGGAGTTTATCTTGGTCACATTCATGATTATCTTTATAAAAATTTATATGCATTTATTTTTACATTACTTGACATACCAAAACACTTCACTGACCGCTGTACATTTAAAACAGCACTTTAAGAAAGTTTCAGCTCATGTATATTTTGGTACTTAAGTTTTTTTTATCAGAACTATCAGAAGTAAAATAACAAAAACTTAATGTGAATTGTGGGTTTGTTTAACTATACCCATATGACTGCAATCTATGAGGATCCTTACAATAACGAATGACTGGGTCAATTGCATCCCATGATTGGTTCTGAACCAAAATAGGAGCCTATGAAAATCGATTGGCTACACAACAAATAAACCATAATAGTTTCTCAAAATTATATCACAAAAACTGCTAAGGATGCACTTTGTTTCGTCAAAGGTGTATTCACACCCAAACGTTGCTTGTATCGGGATAAGACAAGCCGGCACCACCTGACTAGCGGACCGCAAAAATCAGTATTCAACTTTGACTCACTGGGGGTGTAAATGGAAATCCTATGCTCCTTTTTGTTGTAACGCACAGTGTTTTGAACAGAACAAGCTATATGATTATATATTGTTTCTAATGACTTTTAAATATTTTTATGAACATTTTTTCCAATTTTTATGAAATAGAAATATTTTATAGATGAAATTACAAGTATATTGCATTAGTGGAAATAAAAATTGCATCATATGCTTACAAAATTACATTTTATTTGCTAGAATACAATTTATATTTATAAGACTGATATGTATGCACAATGTTTATGTTCTCATATTTATAATTACCATTTAATCACCCGATTCTTCCTTGGAAAAATTACTGACTGGATAATCCTGTAAGCAAATACCATCAGTAAAAGTTGTAGCATTTACAGAAGGTGGTATTATTAAGACTTTGAAAGGTAGATTACCTGTCTTTTTTGTGACAGGTTTCGAGCACTGTGCTCTCTGGATATTCTGCAATTTTTATTGCGAGTTTCTTGGAAAGTTGTCCAATTGGCAGAAGAGCCGACTGAATAATATCTGCACAGTTACAGGCATATAATACCATGAATAGAGACTCAAATACAGCTTTCTAGTGACCTGTGCTAAATTTACAAATTTTTCTATGTTAATATCATAACCAGAAGATTCAAAAGAGTAACACTCATTCTTAGATTACAATATTGCGCCTGCAACAATATACTTTCTGCACACCGGCGTGATTCACGAGCAAATATTATAGTTGAACAAGTTCGTTGAATACTTTTGAAACATCGGTAAACTTATTTACACTTCGCTGGTCTATATATTTACGTCATTGGAAAGAGTGGGAATATGAGAAATAGTTTATTCGTTCGGTTTTTTCATCATCAAGCGAATTATGAATGTTCTTGGGAAAAACACTTTTTTAAAAACTGAACTTCACAAATAAAACTTTTATTTTCTACTTACAAAGATTTTAGTAGCAACAAAATAATAAATTAAATCAGACTAAATTATAAATCAGACTAAACTACAAATCAGACTAAAAATATTGATTTTTACATGGTGTTTTTATAGTTTTATAATTGCTGATCTTGCAGTCCAATACGTCGCAATTCAGTCCAGAATGATCGAGCGGTAGTCCCGTGTGGAATCCACGTGGTAGAATTTACTGGATGGTAGCGGTCATTGTACTGTAACTAGCGTCAATATCTGCATAAGCGTGGTGTGTTCTGTTTATTGTGAATGTGACTGTTTTATATTTATTAAATAGACTTTATGATGTTTATTAGCTTTAAAATATTTTTGAGGTAAGTAAACAACATACAAGTAGCAGAATAATATGATTGATGTTTATTCTTTTTATAGCATTAAGATGGACGCAATAGCGGGTAGAGGTAGTTTACCCAGAATGGTAAAGGGATATGCTAAGGTGTAAATCTCCTGCCATTCAATCTGAATTATTTGAAGCGTTCTCGACTTTCCCCGAATTCGCCCATTTGTAGGACAATTTTAATGAAAATCTAAAGATAGATTTCTTTGTTTCTCTTAGTAATGTCTCCGTAATACCCGAAAAATCATGCTTCGATTGAAACTTGCAATTACCATTCCTAAAAGAGCTCAATACATGAATAAATTGTAGCCCGGGAGCACATAGCGACCCCCAAATTTAGTAAGTAAAAATCAAGAAAAAAGTCACTTATTGACATTATGGTATTTTTCTAAATAACTGACTAGTACCACACTAGTACTTTATTTATGTTATTAGCGAAATAAAAAGTACCAACCTTTTAGTTCAAAATCCATCACAAACTATATTATGCATAGTAATAAAATCACTCATATCTATTATCGCAATAGCCAAACTTACAACTATTTTCAAATGCGCTT